GGTACGGACGTACGTAAATTCACGTACCACCATAAAAACATAATTTACTTCAATTATCATTAATATAATACATATTTAAAAATTAAAGTAATTGCATATGTGCAAAATTCTGCAAGGAATATTTTTTCGTTAAGATACCCAGAACAATTTAATCAGTGAAATTTTGAGATATTGCATTTTCTTTTCATAAAAAAACACTTACTGATTATTCGCTCTTGAGACACGTGCATATACGTATCATTCAATACAACCACTTTTCCATAATGTCTGTGCCATTTTTAGCCATACCATCACGTAAAATGAGCCTCTACGTGCCACACATCCGTACCATTTCGTGCATTCCCGAAACCAACCTGAGCCACAACCCGGACCACTTTTCTCATAGGGAACGTTGGGGGTAGATTGTTTTTGTGAGAAATCTACAGGCGTCTCGGTAGACGTAAGGTTTTAAAGTTTACCTATCATATTATGCCATTGGTATAATACTAGTATAATACCTAGTGTTATACGAGTATGTGTATAATACCAATAGTTAGAAATAGTTAGTCAATCAAATTGCTTTACCTGTGCGAAGTCGAGTTTACAAAATTTTCAGAAAGTTTCCGAAATAAGCAACTAGAAAATTCAAAAGATTCCGAGTCATATTAGACCGGGTGTCTGGTGAAATTATTATTATATAATGTCATAATGTTATGTGATGACATAGAATCATATGAATCATATGCCATATGATATAAATCATGCATATTATTAATATATGACACTCCATATGATATTACAATATGACAAATCATATAAGTTATGTCATTTATATAACATCATCGTCCGGTAGGCACAACGATCATCAAAGATGGATTTCCGATCGAGAATTCTATTCTCTCATGTCCTGCTAAAACTTACGTTGAGATCTGATCTACCTAAACCGTTGCTTTCAAATTCTTATACAAACTCTTCAACTCCTCCATACACCTCTTCCGGTGAATCATACATGAGAAATTTTGCTAAAAAAACCGCAAAAAGACCTCCGGTATAATTCATTTTGTCATGTATTTTTTTTGTGCTTAGTTGAGCTTATAATCTTTCACCCACAGGCTACTTTAGGAACGAAAGTTTTGTTATCTGTTATTGGCCTTGTATCAATGGATCTTTTTTATGCATGGTCGAGGAGCTTTTATAATGAGTATCTCCTACATAAAACTGTTCAAAATGGTAATAAACCTGAACTTAATATACCAGAACATTTGCTCGTGCATCGACCGCAAGTATTAAAAAGTCTTGAAGAGATTTTTTAGTCACATCACTATGGGATCAATTACCATGTTGTCTGTGGCGAGCATGGTACTGGAAAAACAACGCTGAGGGAAATCTATGAATTGTGTGTTCAAGAGACATATCAGTTTTGTTATTCAAATAATCTAGTTAAACTATGGGGTT